TCTTACCTCTAAATTTTATCTTTCTACTTATATTAGTATCATACATATGTAAATTCAGATCTTTATGCAAGAGGAACTTGAATTGTTCCATTTCTATCCTAAATTGAGGAACTAAAGAAATAAGGCAAATCAAAGCTAGCTTGTAATTATGACAATAGTCTTTGTAATTGAGCTTAAGTAAGATGATGACCAGCCACTCTAATAACTTTTCACCAATGAAGCTCCATGCCCTAGAGACTTGTTACAATTGAAAGAGAAGAAATGGATTCTTCATTGCTAATAAACAAGATCATGTGCACTACCATACAAGGTTATCTAGAAAGACAAGGATTACAATCTCTAAGTCTACTTTTGGAAGAAGGACCACTATCTGGCTCATGTGGCTTGCCTTGTTTAAATAAGTTACAAATCCATTATGGTATTTGTCTTCAAACTATTTGTAAACTACATTGTAGTAACGATCTAAAAATGTATAGAAGAATGACAACAATAAGCTTGTTTTAGGTAAAAAAAATTAAAAAATTAAAAAAACAAAGATAGTTCACTACTATTAATAATTATAGCTAAGACATTGTTAACTTCATTTAAATTAAAACATAAATATAAATTTTATGATAGAATTATTAGCATCTTTGAAAAATTGACAAAAAATAATAAATATTCTATAAAAGACTATCAACTAACTAATATATTCATAGGAAGGATAGACTAATAATTTGAATGTCTAATTATTAAACTATGATGCTACTATATTATTATGAGTGTGAATTTGTATTATACCCTTGAAAGTAAATGGTTGATTTTCAACCAAATTTGCTTTATAGAAGTTTTTAATGAGGACTTTATAGACTTGTACTACATCAACTATTATTATATTCATCTTCTTATAACACTTCTTATTTATCTTTGAATGTTCATAATTATTTTTTATTTTATTTATTTTTATTTTATACGAATTTAGTTTTATTTTTCAATTTAATAGAAAATATTTCTTCAACTTCAAGATTTTTCTTTTGCAATTATCTAATTTTTTTTAGCAATGATTCAAGTACACAAACACATGTCTTTTTCTTGTAATTCTTCTAATTTCTTATTTGGATGTCTTTATAAATTTTTTCTATTCTTTTTTGGCAATTCTAAGTCAAATTTATTATATCCAAAAAGCCACAAATTATATAGATATAAGAATGATGTTTCAATATTAAAAATATTTTAAAGCAGCAAATTGATTCTTTTTTTAAAAAATGAACTATTTTTATGTCACAATTCCAAATACTCTCTTCATTGTTATTTAAGTGCTTGAATGAAAGAAGTTGTAGTAGACTTTATTTTAAGCATTTATTTCTTTTTTCTTTGAATAGTGAATAAAAATATAGCATTATAAGATAAGAAATATCACAAATAAATTTGAAAAGTAAAATTAATCTTTTTATGAACTTAATTTTATATTTAGATATTTAAATAATCTATTACAAAGCTTAAAACTTTAGAAATCATCTATTTTATTTGAAGTTTTTTTATAGAGCATTATTCCTTTATTTTTTTTAATTTTTTTTTGATTATTGAATATGCAAAGATTTGGTATGTGGAATATATAATATCATGAAACATTTTATGTATATATTTTACCACAAATTATAGTAAATTATATTTATAGAATATATTTTAGTTTTTATATATAATATTTCTTATTCAAGAGTTTTGTTAGAATGTGATTGTATAGTGTTATCTTTTTTTTGTGTGGTTGAAAAATGGTCTTTGGCTAATAAATTTGAAATTTATTTTTAAAGTTTTATGTATTTTTAAAATTCAAAATTATTTATAATTTTCAACTATTAGATAAAAATAAATTGTAAAAATAAAAATTATATAATATATAAAATTTAAAAATATATTATATTATATTTTAATAGTAGATGTATTGTTAAATATTTTTAAATGCTGCTATATATACCTTTATCATATAAATTTCTATAGATTTTTTATTTTTCATTTTTTTATTTTATTGTTGTTATGTAGAGATATTTAGATCATCCATTCTAGATTTTAAAAACATATTAGAAAAAATAGATTAAATAGCACTTTTTATTTGCAATATTTTTACTTCACAACTACTTATTTCTTTTAAATAATTTAAGATGAGATTAGGAAAAGAGATTTCTACTTCCTACAACCTAAAATATATTTTTGTAAACTTTCTATATCTTCTTTTTATAGTGTTTCTTTTTGAATTTTCTAGAAACTTCTATATCAATATATCATTTTACATATTAGAATTTCATATTAGTCTCTTTTTTATAAGTATCATCTTCAAAATTATACATCTAATATTTAGAATAATAGAATACAATGACTTTTGAACTTGTTTTGTTTAATACCATAATTAATTCTATAAAATCTTAATATGTTTTTTTTTTTTTTTTTTTTTTTTTTTTTTGGCAATCCAACAAGAAATAAAAAAGAATTAAAATTTGATGTTTACACAAATTGTCTCTAATAAAATACTCACAGAAGAAAACATGGAAAATTCACAAAAGGATTTCAAACCACATGTTTAGGTTTAGAATCATAAACACTTTAAGAGTTTGTCTTCTAAGAATCATGTGTAATTGGCTCTAAGATGTCTTTTTTTAGGATTTTAGGATTTTTTTTTTGAATACTTGCTTCAATACTTTTCTTCACATTTGTATTGATCATAAATCTATTTTATTTTATATCCCTTATGTACATATAATGAGTAATGATAGAAATAGAAAGAGGCCATACCAACCAAATTATTCTTTTTTCTTTTGATTTCCTTAGGAGTTTGATTAACTATTTTTTAATGTTTCACAATAAGATTCAATACAATCATTATTATCTTGATTCTCATGACAAAAAACTTATAATCCTACCAACTATAAATATACATCATACAAATTTTTATAATAAAAAAATACTTAAAAGATAAAAATGTAAAAATAAATATCTAAGTTTTGAAGTTTAATAATGATTAAAATTAGTAAATTAAGAAATCATCCAATTAAAATTTAAAAACGAAAAAATATATTAGATAAATTTTAAAAAACTAAATATAAAATCATCTAAATATAATTAATTCTAAAAATAGTCTAAAATAAAGATTTTTATTTAGCATAAATTTAAAAATATTCTTTCAAAGTTGGAACATCATATTGTTGAAAAATTATTGCCATTACTTTGGTTTATGGTTAATAAGTTGCTAGTATATTGCCTTCTTCTTTATTTTTTAATTTAGTCATTCTTTTCTATCATATGAGTAAGTTTCTATGGATTGTACAAACCATTGTAAAGTTTGTATGTGATGGATAAATAATATTGGCAACCTTATCTTTTCTTTTTGTTTAATTTAATTTCAATTTGCTTAAACAATTAAATCACAAACTAAAAAGTTTCTAGAGAATTGTTGAAATTAGCAAAGAACAATCATAAAAGTGTATTTTAAGAGAAAGGTAACAAATCTTGTATTACAAATCTTGATTCAGAATGTCTTGTGTATGTATGTATGTATGCAAGTATACTGTTTTTTAATCAAAAAATCAATACATTTCTTAAGTTTTATACTAATAAGTACTTTTTTCAAAACAAAAATTTCTTGCCGCCTCTCTAAACACTAAACTCACACGATTTGCCCAAATTAGCCCTAACACTGAAATGCCTTCAAGTGATGACCCATGTACTGAAGAACATATCCGATTTTATAATGGTGGCATGGGAGATTCAGAAACGAAAATGACTCTCATGATCTGAGACAGCGGATGCCGCAGAAGCCCTGAATTTGTAAACGAGATAAGATCTTCGGCGTAGACCCTGAACTTGTCTTCACGATACCTGCTAGCACTCTACGAGTCGGTGTCACAGACGTTGGGCACAATCGAGCTGGGAAGTATTCATTGTCGATGTCTAAGAATAAAATTTCCGCCTTGTGGAATGAAGGCTTTTTTTGCTAGACGGAGAAGAGTGACGGCGGTCTGATCCCCTGCGTAGCTGTAATCCAAGCACAGATTCTTTCACCGTATTGTGGATTCTACTTGCGAATGCCTTCCCTGTATAGATCCCGGTAGTGTGCCAAGTCCTGGCAGAGACAAGACGACGAGAACTAATATGTTTGAATCTGCTAAGAATATGTTTGTTGGGGCATTCATTGCGGTCTGGAAACTGAAGGGCTCACTCTTGTTAGCGCATAGACGCCAGCAACTGTTGGTCCAACGGGACTCCCTCGCCGATGGAACTTGGATTCCTTGAAAGTGGTAGAGCATAGGGCTCCCAGTTGTTAGCTCCAAGTCCATGACCTGCCGGAGACGAGAAGAATGGCGTCTGTTACACGAACGCGGGGAGGTTTCCTCTCAGGATTTGTATTGGGCACGGAATGATCAGCGTGCAAAGGTGATGAGTGGGTACCTCTTGTGTGGGGTGAGGGATTCCAGGTACATGATAATGATTGTGTAGTCGTTCTTGTTGGGAGAGGGGCTTTGGCCAACATTGTCTTCTCATGGGTTTTTGTCACATCCAACAACGCTTTTCAAGTTGGATGAGAGTGGCACTGTTGACTTCAACCGCGACCACGAGCAACTTTCGTCAGTTATATTTTCGAACTTTCATGGGTTATTGAGTTGGAATCCAATGGTCAGGTTAACATTTAGCAGGCTGATTGCGTGATTTATCAGAAGATTTAAATAGTGTGTAAATGTGTTATATGAGCTTCTGTCGCAGACAATATTCTTTGGATTTTCCACATCTTTATAAACATCATTGTCCGGTGTTGAAACATTTGTTTTAGGTTTGCTGCAACACTTTGTACATCCAAGTTTGCCAGGTGTCATTGCATATCATTGCTTCTCTTCGAATTACCATCTTTGAGAAGGTTCAAACTGTTACACTAAACCGATATTCAAAGATATCTCTTGCAGCATGAAACTTTGTTGGCACCATCGCACAGGAGGGGGATGAAACCATCATCAATGACAACTAAGCACAAAGCGTGGTGAAAATGTCAATGTTGCCTAGCAGTGACTAAGAACATGCATTTATTTTAGCTTTCATGAAGTTATGTAAGTTGCAGCTAATACTTAAAGCAACACTCGTTTTTGAGGGGCATTGGTGTATACTACGACACAGAGGATCAACTCATTCCAACTGCAGAGGGCTCTAGAGAAACAAAACAAGCGGAAGCGTTCCTCTGGACACATCCGTTTACTTGTCGGCAATTAAAAAAAAAGTTTCTGACTAGCAAAAAAACCATGATACAAAGAATGGGATAAGCAAAGTTCAATACTACAACTCAACTAGTGGGCTTGTTCCGGTAAAAATCTAGATAAATACACATTAGGGTCAACCGAGGTACCGCAGAAGTACACCGTCGTTACCCAGTACGAACCCTTTGTTGTCAATGAACCTGCATAACAAACATTGCAATACAGTGTGATGAAATGAATTAAATCTAGGATTACACATAAATTGAATTTGTGCAAGATAATTCACGCGTTTTCAGTAAGGAAGTTCTATGGCAGGTATATTACTTTTGGTAAGAGAGGGAAGAGAGAAAAGGATTGAAATTACGGTTCTATCAATTCGTTCTAACTTCTTCCTCGAAAATAAGAGATAAACAAACACAAACATAATGAAGTATTGTCCAAGTGTGAGTTTCTTTCTAAATTGATCCGGTTCTCACCATCTAAACACTAAGTAGTAGCATTTAGTGTGACTGATCTCCTTTCATCCAGTTCACATGAATGCTTTAATAGAGAAAACAGTGGGTTGAGTTAGATGACAGTCTTACTTTACAGAATATAAGTTGGCAGCGATCTTGTCAGCGACCTTATCACGGATCCAGGATTTTCCTCCATCCGTTGTCCTCAACAAAATGCCACTACCTCCCGCAGCCCACGCCTCATCCTACAAGCCCATGCCTCATCAGAAGAGTGAGAGGATGATGTAAGTAATAACACACATCCTCATGTGTTCTATGGGAGTAGCACGGAAAATATACGTGGTAGCGATAGAAATTTACTATTTATCAGAGCCAAGCAAGTTAATAAAAACTGACGCGTATCAAAGGTGAAAGCGATTCCCTCATTCTGTTGGAAAGATCATTTAATCTTGATCAAGAAGGAAGTCATTGCCTTCACAGAACACATTTATATGTCCAGATCAAAAGTCGTTTATGCAATTATGGCAACAACACACAGAATTGAGAAGTAGCTTTTGGAGGATAAGTACCTTTGACCGATATCCAACATCCAAAATGCCAAATCCTCTGCTTGGGATCTTCTGTTCCTCAAAATCCTCCGTTACCTGTAAGAATGACAACTTGCAGGATCAGAATCACAAAAATAAATAATCAATCCTGTTTCGCTCTTTTACCAGTATTCTAGTCTTTACACCTACCAATGACACAGTTGTGAATTGCTCAATGGTAGTAAAGGCTGAAGGTTCATCGAACTGTAGGTCAGCACAATCACTCATTAGCACTAAACTAGACCAATTTTCAGATCACCAAACACCAAGTTTCTTCAAAACACCAGCCGACACATACATGACGTTCCATTTTAGTAGCGCAACTTTGCTACGTGTGCCCAGTGTGTGAGATATGCCTACCCCAGTGCCTTTGCTGACGTAAAGTCCACCTCCACGAACAACCAACCATAACCCACCATCCGCACGCCACCCCATATTTTGGATTCGGCGCGCACTAGTGCGGTTGTGTGGTTGCCAGTAAGGCTGCAATAATCAAGAACCAGAGCAGCTTAGTATGCATGAACAGGCTTGCCCTGATGTGCTGTACTAATGTACATTGTAGCTAAAGGAAGGGAATGTATTTAGTTACCTGACCAGGCTCCCAGGTCAGGAAAAAATTTCCACGGCTCACAACGGCGACATAATCACCAGCTGGTGACCTATTCACCGTGTTAAGAGTACCAGTGTAGTAACTAGCTCCACTGATACCACTTGACACAGTTCTGCAGCCAGAAAGGTAGTTCTTAGTAAAGCACTGAAGTAGCAGCCGGATACCTGCAATTCCATTTCCTTATCACTAGGTTTACAGAAATCTTTTACAATATCCTTCTGTAATGAGCAAAACGCTTCGCAAAACCTAGACCGCTTTCCAGAGGATTAAATTAACAGCACATAAATGCAGTATCCTCTCGAACTGCACGGCTAGGTGCTGAAAAGAATCATCAGAGAAAATTCTGCAGTCCTCTTCTGATGTGAAAAAATGATTGAAAATCTTTACTGAGAAGACTGAGAGGAAGATAAGTAGGGGAAAAGAATAAAAAGATGAATAGCCGAAGAAGTGGCATGCAAATCATCATGATCAACGAAATAGAGTGAGGCGGAAGTGCAGCTCTAGTCCCAGCATAAGTATGAAATCCTTATTCTTAGATAGAGGGTGGAATCAATTGCCATAGGACTATCTCCAGATACAAATCATAAACTTACCTATTAAGGGTGGCAGAGACTGTCTCTTCCACGGCAGCCTTCCAATTGTAACCCTTGTTTGATGTAACGTAAATAGCACCCTCATCGGTAACCATCTCTGCGCTGTCCGGTCCAGTCCCCCTTATCGTGATCTACATTGCAAATTGAAATTATTAGAATAAGATGTCATGCGGTACGCTTGACGAAGTGCAACAAAGTTCGAAAGATGTGCATTCGCGAAAACATGGTATTCTTCGGTGTTAATATTGGTTAGTAATATCAGAGCGAACCTTGTGAGATATCTTCTTGTGATTTGTTAATAGTGACTATATCTGAGCACACAACAGGACATAACTACAATTTCAAACACTCAGCACAGGGTAGGATAATTACGGGATTTCCAGGAAGGCGGATACTGAGAGGGATGCGCTCCCAACTCTCCCCACCGTTGCTTGTGTGGAGCAAAATAGCTGGCTTGCCAATAATCCAACCTTCCTGACCTTGGAAACTGATGCTGTTGAACCTGCAAGAGTCCAAACAATGTCAATGACTGCCTTCATGTTACATGGAGACTATAACAAATACATTCGATGGGTCCTCCACGAAACCAGCAGATTACACTTTTGCAATTTCGACACATGGAGCCTCAGTATAACAATGTGGGTAACAGACGATCCTCAGTTACAACCGCCTTCTTATAGGTCCTGCATGAAAATGCTAAATTGAGAGTACGTTACCTGTAATTGAAGTCCTCGTCTTCAGCAGAAGGAATGCTGCGTGGACTCCATGAGCGACCCGCATCCTTCGTTTCCAACAGTGTCTGCCGGGTCCCTAACAAGAAACCTGGATGGCAAAGGATCCAAGTTTCAGATCATTCCACCCACTCATACCATAGCCCTGACGACGACCTCCGCCTAAATCATATGAGCAAGACACTACTTCATGGGTAGAGATTCTGTCAAACTGCTACACGGGTTCGCTCACAGACGACCTACACTGGAAGTCATGCATAAGATAACTTGTGACAAGCTTTCCAAGATTACTGCACCCCCTACGTCAGATACAGCCGAAAGCACGAATTCCCTTGAAATTACGTTAATGAATGAGGCATGATCAACAGGATGATTCACAAATGATGAATTCCTTCAGAATTTTATATTTTTGCAAGCGACAGTGGACCCTACGATGCAGAGCCCGTGAAATGCAGAGGGTAGACACACGACACGGTCGCAGATAGAACGAATTGTGTTAACATATCGTGCAATAGTAATTGGATTACCGAGATCCTGTACACCAATTATCGGGAAATTGTAGAGAGTTCAGGGAACAAGGAACTTAGGGAGCCACTGAATGAGACATACCGCGGTCGGGTTGGTCAGGTACAAACGCCATGTCAAGAAGAACGACGCCAGGGTCCACGGGGAGCACAACCTGTTCCCAACTAGAAATCGTCTCATCAGCCAGCGCTGCGTCGCTCCCATCGCTTCCTCCCATCAAGACCCCCAACGACAGAGCGGCAGTACTCGCAGCTAACACACCCCTCCTACTCACGACCGCCAGTTCCTCATCACCTTCTTCAAGGGCCGCCACTGGTGTCACCACACACCCCTTCGACGAACATGGTTGATGCACATTCACGGTCTTCGCCTTCGAACCGCCGCGGAGTCCAGAGAAGCTGGGAATTGCACAGCTTGACGACGGCGAGCTCAGCCCCTTGGTGAGGCTTCTCTGTGGATGAGAGCTCAGCAGCGACAATGCCTGCGTTCCTAGGGCCGCCATCTCAAGGTCCTGAAAGCAGCACCAATTGGCTTGCGAACGCCAGTGCCAACAATGGCGACCCCAACTCGGCGAAATGCGAAGTACTACACACACTGAACAATGCCGTGAATCGAGAGCTTCTCTTCTTCTGGCTATGGTGGATAGCCTCGCGACGCGGCCACAGGACTCGGACAAGACACGGTTAAGCATGTTCCGATGGGGCTCCTTATCCATACACAGGGACCCACCCGGTAGTAGGGGTGCCCTGGCATCCACGTCCACGGTGGTGGGCCTCACCCTCACAACTGGCTGGAGCCTTCTAGACCTGGGGATACTACCCTGTTGCCGCGTTAGGTTGCAACGGTTTAAGGTGCTCTGTTCTGTCACCGAATGAACAACTGAAAACTGAGACCACCACAATTCTGCAAGTTTTGATCTCATTTTGAAGTATTTCCAAACAGTACACGTATGAATTTGGGTATGTACCCTCTTCCTTTTTTTAATGTTTTAATTTCTTTTCTGTTGGAAATTTAGGTACCTGGTATCAATTAGGATTCTAGAATTGTCTGTTGCATTTTGGTAGGCAATAAACAATTTCATTAACTCTAATCACTTTGGTGATATCGTAAGATGTTGTGTCTGGAATGGTTATTTTGGGTGCTTATGGAGTGCCATTGAGAATCAGTCCTTGATGATGAAATGGTATTGTTTGAAATTTAATATGGAAATCAAAAAGTAAAACATTCAATTCAGAAAATCGAATGAACAAATCAAACTAGAAATAACATCACTTTTTCCGCTTTTTGCAATTTTGTGAGAGTGAATCAACCGCGTAACTTACAATCATTTTCCGGATAATATGCATTTTTGATAAAATCTAAATGCTAGGGACATCGTCAATCATTACCGATATAACTGTAAGATATCTCTCTAAAAATAAAGAACAAGCTTTTGAAAATCTATAAAAGGGCGTTCTAATAATTAGACCCCAAACTTAACTATAGAAAATAAATCCCTAAAATTAACAAAGGTGGTTGAAGATATAGATTTGATATCTAATGTTGAAAAAAGAAAAAAAGAAAAAAAATCTAACAAATGTGATTAGGCATCTTCACAAATTCAGTTTTGGTGACGTTGAATGCTTCCCATGGCAGAAAAGGACCTGACGCTATCAACGCAACTACAAGTTCTGATGATTTTGAGCATGTAATTACAGTAGGAACTGGCATAGGCAATGAATCGTCTTGATTTGCATGAAAATGAACAGCGAGGAGAGGAGAAGCACAAGGAAGCACGCAACAATCTCAAGAAAACAAAAAAAATAAGAAATCTGCTGGTCTTTCTGAAATAAGAGATCAACACGATTTTACAGTAAGAAGACAATCTAGTGAACAGAACTCCCAAATTGAATGGCTCTCACAGGTGAATCACATAACTCTAGATTCCGCAACTGAAAGTGCTCTACGCAAACGAACTACACACTAGTTGGTCTCAAAATTGTGTCAAGTGCCACACCCGCCTTCACTGAAGCGAATTGAAGAAGAGGATCAGCACTACTGCCACTACTATGATAACAGGGATGAAGCTCACGAGGTATAGAAAACTGAAACCCTGCAAACAAGCAATCAAGCAGCCAAGGGTCAGTTTGTAAGCAAATCTCGTGCTGCAAACAATCCAATCCTCGAAGCTAACCAACAGTGTAAAATGATCAGATATGCTAATATAAGTTGAAAGAACCGATAACAGATGCCAAGCACCAACCACAACTGGGGGAACCATGTCGCTGAGGTCTTTTGGCTCTTCGCCAGGTTGAATCTCTGCTGCCGCATCCCAGTCTACTTTCGCTCTCTGAGCAGCTACTTTTGGGTCTACCCCAGTAGGTGTCACTTTTGCGTAGGGACTTGCTAACGGGTTGACCTCCGATATCTCATCCTGTAAGACATGCCCCAGAATATATTCAGCAGGTTGGCGAGCTTAACTGAAACCCTAAACTCACAAAAGAGTCACTCTAGCAGCACAAAGAATGTAGAGTAGTTGACAGAACCTCAAGATTTGGCCAGGCCAGCATCTCTTTCGTCAACTCGCGTAACACCAGCCGGTCCTCTGGTAGGCGCCCTTCGTAGACCTTGAGTAAACAAGAGAGCACAAAAACTCGTAATATCAGTAACATGAATAAGTATAACGTGCCAGTGCGGTAGGATCGATTGGGAATAGAAAATGACCGGAAAGGAAACGTGGAGAGAACACGCTCACTACCTCTTGAAGCGCAATGCCCATATCTTCCTTGGAGCAGCCGCGTTCATCCTCAATGCCGAGCTGCCGCCTTCGTTCCACCTCTCGTGGATCTTCAATCATAATTGTCAATCTGACCTGCCCAACGACTTCCAGTTTAGGTTCATATGAGAAACTAGATTATTTTCAGCAATTCAAGGAACAAGAGATAAAACCCAATTACGGATGGAATGATTTAAGAAGACTCACTTCATTAAACGTCATGTCTCTTTTCTTCTTCAAAAGATCCAAAACCTGCAAGACACGCATCATTCAGAGAGGTTGTTCACTCAATACTTTACAATGACAAGGCAATGCTGCAGGATGAACGGGAAATTTTGTCAATGGTGAGCCGTAAATATACCCGAAGGATTTCGCTAACATTCGCTTGATCCTCCTCCTCTTCCGGGGACAACGCTCTCTCTTCAGTTGTCACACTGCTCTCCGAGCTAGAATCTTCCGCCATAGCCCTCACCACAGCCCTTGCAGAGCCTGCAGTTCGTCGCCACAATCCCGCCACATTTTGCACACTCACAACTTTCTCTTGCAATTTTCGATCCTGTCTCTGACCTCGCTGTAAATTCAAATAATTTCTAGGCGAAAATTGTAGTTCAACCCTTCCACCCACTCCCAGCATCCTTGCACCTTGCGTGAGCCCAGCAATTGGTCGCCCAGCCGCGGCAGGGTGAGTCGCAGCCAATTCAGGGCTAGAGCATCTGCAAGGGGTTCCTGTAAGGCTCACAGTTGCCATGGCGCCCGTCATAGTGACTTCAACCATATAGCCCAAATGAATCAGTGCTTCGCAATCTCAATGTTGCTTCACTGCTTCAAATTCCAAGATCTGTAAGCTGCAGTCACAGAGAACTGTGTGAAAATAAAATAATGGCACGTTTTCTTCAATGATTTTGCAACACCAATTTCCCCGTCATCCCTTCCCTCTACAACTCCAACATATCGGGATTTATGTGTCTCCATCGAAATCTTTGACCTAATATTATACTCAGCCACAGCAGTACGCAATACTTGCGCCATTATGTCACTGCTTTAGCATCCGGGCAGCTACAAAAACCTCTCTCAACAGAATTGGACTAACATCACATTCTGAAAGCTCTAGCTTCGGACTAACGTTGAAAAACCTCGCAGTAACCAGAAGATTTTGCAATACTTCAAATTCATCAAAACCCATAGCTCGTTATAACCAGTCAAAGCTACTGAAATGAACTCTCTGAACTGCTACTACGCAACAACACTCCCTCTTCGATGAGATTCAAAAAAGTGAAAACTCTCTCTTCACACGATGAATGATAAAAACTACCCCCTTGAAAAATTTCAGCTTCAAAGCTAGCGAAATTTCAGTACTCCCACTGAGGCATAGCGGAAACAAAAATTGTAAGAATCAATAGTCCAGGAGAGCTTCTTCACCTGAGACAAGGCTGTTCAGGAACAGCGACGGACCCGAGATACTAGAGATGCCAAGCAAGCAAAAGGAGCGGAAAGGAGGAAGAAGCAGAGGGCAGCAATTCGCTGCTGCAGGTGAAGAGGAGGAGGATGTGGAGGGAGCGAGCGAGCGAGCGAGGGAGGGGCTCACAATGCAACAAACAAGATGCCAGGGCAGCAACCCCCTCCCCCTTTCCAAGGCAGCCCGATCCGAAACTAGAAGAGATTGGCAGCCTAAGATTCTCCACAGGGTGAGCCCCCCCGCCTGCCTTGCTTTCCCAGTGCCACCACTGGATGGATGAATATCGACATACATTCAAGGTGATAGTACGTGGATGGACGGACTCTACCGGATGGATGCGATGGATGGATGAGATGGATGGATGAGATGGATGAGATGGATGGATGAGATGGATGAGATGGATGGATGAGATGGATGAGATGGATGGATGAGATGGATGGATGAGATGGATGAGATGGATGGATGAGATGGATGAGATGGATGGATGGGGATAGTTTGACAGATGGAAAGGTGGTCTGTGGTGTAAATACAATAAATGGATGATTCCACGAATTTGTGCCTGCTTACAAAAATTTACATGAATTAACATGAAATAACGTATATATATGTATATCTATATATATATATATATATACATGTAAATATATATAGATTACAAAAAAATTATGTAAATGGATTGTTAGCAATGTTTTGTTGAATTTTTGTTGAATATTATTAATCATTCAATAAATTATAATTTTAAAATAATCTTAAATTACAACTTATAGTATAGTATAATCATCATTATTTTTAATAAGTTTTATTTTATGATGATTATACTATACTTAAAAAAGTATTTTGAGTTATTTTTTAAAATAAAATTTGGTGCTATGAAACAAATGTCCTCACAAAATAAAAATAAATGTTTTAAACCACATTAGAGAAAACTTGTAATCATGGAATTTAATGTATCTTTTTGATTTTTAATTTTTAATTTTTTTTTGTTAATATAAGGACTTGCAGTTAATAACTAAATAACTTAATCATTTTAATGAATCAGTATATAACTAAATCAGTTTAATTTTTATTAATCTGTTTTGAGACAATTTTCCTTGTGATAAATTTAGAATTTTTAAAAATCAACACACTCTTTTATTAAATCAACCCATCAATGGTTTCATTGGAATGGATTGCAAGAATGTGTGCTTAATTTGATTGTTTTGTGAGTGTGCTTTGGGAGTTTGTTGTGATGGAAGTACTTTGAGATGGTACTTTTGTATCTTTTCTTTATTTGCAAAAAGGTGACAAATGTGTGATTCTTATTTAAATGAGTCGATTTAGCAAAAGAATGGGTTGATTTAACAATTTCCTGAATTTAATTAGGTTTGATATTATTACAAAGTAATTATAATTTATTATAATTTTTTAAGATTAACTATATATATATATATATATATATATATACATACTTATTAGGTTTGCACCTACAATTTAGGTGAAAAAAGATGGTAAAAAAAGAGTCAATTATATAGTTTGATGTGTGGACATTTATGTTGAATATATCTTTTTGTAATTTTAAAAATTATAATTTGATTAAAATAAAATTTAAAATAAATGATTCTTATATGCACTTAATTAAAATAAATTAATAATTAAATAAGATTAAAAATAAAGTTTTTTTTAAGTATTTATATGTTTTATTTAAATAGTTACACCTTATATGAATAGCATCCTAAAAACCTTCTTATAAAAAAAGAAGTAATTTTAAGCTAACTTTATTTATTACTTAAACACTTTATTATATATAATGTTACACATCAATCCAACAATTCATATTGTAATCTTTTATTTATTAATATATATTGTATCAAAACTACAACATTCAAATTTTTATATATATATTATTTTATTTTATGATGATGATTGTTATTATTATTATTATTGATATACTCTATTCAAAACCAAAAAAATTAATACATATTATTATACTCCATTTGATTACTATTGCATAAGCATTATACAAATAAAATTATTCATGTCTTGATGAAAATAATATATCTAATTTACTTATAAATAAAAAGATTTTTGTTATTAAGCAAGCTATAATAGTTTTTTTCTAATCTAAAAAAAAAATCTTTAAAGTTTTGTACAATAAATTATTTAATAATAAACCTAATTCTAATACAAAGATTATTTAATAATAAACCTAATTCTAATACAAAAATTATTTAATAATAAACCTAATTCTAATATAAAAATTATTTACAAGATCAAGATTTTAAAGAAGAATCACAAGTATACCAACTTTTAATATTATCTTATAGAATAGCAATCTACTTATTTTAGTCTAATTTAGATTACTTGTTGCAATTATATTTTCTTATATCTATTTTTTCACAAAATCATATTTAAAAAAATATAGTATATAAATGTACATAAATGAGTAGAAAGAAAAGTTTATTTTATTAATATGGATTTAATTCTACATTTAAAGATAATAAATTTATATCCATACACACCTTTAATATTGCCATAGACATATATATTTACTCTAATAGTTACATAGATAATATGAATAGGTAGAAGTGAGTAAAAATAAATTAATTTGATAATATTATATAGACAAGCTTCTTAGAAGCTTTATAGATGTGATTTCACCTTTATATGTGTCTATAGGTGATTAATAGGTTAAAAACTTGGGTAAGAAGTTAGCCACATATTGCATGTATTGATAATTTGTGGTATAAGCTAACCATATGGTACACATATAAGAAACTTGCCTTGCAAGTTAAAACATATGTTTTACAAATTAGACATGTATTGGAGATCCTATAGAATGTTTCTATGTAGCTATTAGATAGATAATAAACATAGAGGCAAGAGTAAAGCCTTATTCACTCTTATCAATCCTTTTCTTGTTTTTAATCTGGTTTTAATGGTATGTGGTTTCTTTGTCTTTTGGCAATAGCCATTATAGTTTCTTTTGAATATACATAATTTCTTATTATCATTTTATTATCTCTCTTTGATACTTATCTCCCTTGTTTATATATCTTCTTTAAGTTCTTATCTTTGGCAAATTCATAAGAATATACTTATAATATTAGAGCTTTGTCTTTTTTTTATTAAGAGTAGATTACCTCTCTGTCTTGATAAGACAAAAGTGTATTAGAAGTTGGAAACTATCCACTTCTAAACTAATATTGTTCATAGAATTTCTTTTTTTGTCCAATCATCTCTTCTACTTATTTTGAAAGATATTAGACATCTTTTTTTACATTGTATAATCATAGCATAGCTTCTTGAAATGTACAAGCAATCAAAAGAGTTATGCATGCTTGCTATGCATCAATTCAATTTACCTCCATAAAAAATCAGAAGATTGATAAGAAGTAAAGATATAGAGATGACTGGAGCTGCTTCAATATCTATACCACATCTTATTATTCATCCTAAAGTGGAACATTGTTTAAGTATTAAAGAACCAAGAATTGTCTTGTCCAAGAAGTTTGATGGTATAAGATTAAAGTTTTAAAGATTCATTAATCAACTATAATTAATAATTAAATTTTAACTTCAAAACTATCCAATTCTAAGATAATAAGTCAAGTTTATTAAAATATTATTTTTAGATTCTACATTATCATAATTTTTATCATTTTTTGATTAAGATGATCCAATATTGGATGATTTGGAGGCTTTTTTGGCAAAGTTTTTAAATCAAGACTAAATCCTCTTAATGATCTAAAATCCTTTCAGTTTATAGCAAGATAAATCCTATTACAAAGTAGGACAAAATAGACCAAAAAAAAATTGAACAAAACTAAACAAAATAGAACATGAAAGACAAAAGTGAGCAAAAAGAAATAGAATAGAAAAAAACAAAAAATGTAAAACAAACTTTATTAAAAAAAAGAGACAAAAGCTATCTTTAACCAAATATCTCAAATGACCTTGGTTAGTCATATTTATACTTTATTCAACTATTTTTGAACTTTCTAAAATGTCCATAATGGTAGGCTTCATTAAGATAATTACCCTTCCTAGAAGGTTCTAGAAATAGGCTCCACTTAGATAATTTTCTTTAGTTCTTATAGGATATTTTATGGTGGATCCTACATAAACCACTAACTTGGCCACAATTCTAAAATCTTCTAAAAACTTCTAAAAAATGGCCCCAATTGTTAGAGACCATATATAATACAAGGATTTAAGACCAAGAAATGGAATTAACTCAACATTAGAATAATAATTAGATTTAAGATAAGAAGTTCTTAGCTAGACTAGAAGAAGTGAGTTGTTGAGACTGAGGATCCCTTCAACCTGGACTCCTATATGTACTAAGTCCTAAGAAGCTTCTTGAAAAAATTTCATGAGGCTTGGAAACAAAGCAAGCCTAAGATCCTTCTTTGGTAACTTCTTAAATCATCTAAAGTCTCTTAGAACCTTCTAGGATCTCCTATGATCTTCTAGATCTTTTTTAGAATCTACTAGAACCTTCTATAACCTTCTTAGTACCTACTGAAACCTTCTAGGACCTATAAGAACTTTCTTAGAAACTTCTAGAAATTCTTAGAACCTTTTTGAATCTTCTTCAGTTGTTTGTCTTTGACATCACCTCCTCCTCTAACTTCAAGATCTCTAAGAAACAATGTTGTTGTAAGTCTGTATATATGTAAGAAATTGAAGATTTGTCGCATGATATCTGCATATATTCCAATTATTTTTTGCAAGGCAAATGGTTTATAGGCCCTTATAGCCATCAATAGTGTCTCAAGCCTTCTACTTGTGACCAAGCATGAACTTCAATATCTTTGATATATAATTGTCTTGCAAACACTCCTTTTGGGTGTCTTTCATAGGTAGATTCTATCTCAAATATAATTATCAATGATCTATTATTGGATATTCTTTGATATTTTTATGGTTCAAATCGCTCTGCATCTTGGAGTCGTCTCTACAAGTTACTTGGTTGAGATGTTATAATCAACATGATGTCTGTTTTTTGACTATCCATATTACATAAAATAGATAAAATCAAAAACATACAAATAGACTATGGTCATGAATTCAAACTGCTAACTTATATTGTTTTAAACATTTGAAAAATAATGCCTCTTCAAAGGCTACCTCTTCCCCTTCTTTATGAGGCCAAGAACTAAAAATCTTCATGGTGAAGCTATCTTACTAAGCTACTATTCTTCATTTCACTGCTTTTGGTCTGGATGGATGT